CCGCCACGAGCGAGTGGTTCATCAGAACTGATGCTTGTCATATGAAAATGTTCGTCAAGGTTTAACTTTTTCGTCCGACGACGTAAGGGCTATGGCAGAGAACGAGACGTAACGAGACGTAAGTTCCGTAGTCGTAACGTAAGGTAAGGCAGAGAAAAACGTAGCTGTCGTAGTCGTGACTGGTCTGGAATGGTCGGTAAAGTGTGTCAGAGCGACGAGGTGAGTAATATTAATGCACGTTTATACGTCTTAATAGTTAATAAGGAAATATATACACACTAAAACAAAATAAAAATAGATTAAAAATGTGTTAAGGACATTTTTTGTTAGTAATTAACAATGTACATACATACTTCGAAAAATATTGGTTAACCTCTAAAATAATAATTACGTACTATTATGATTATTTCAGGAGGTGGAAACAAATATCATTATATCTTTAAAAATAAATCTATTTTTATTTTGTTTTAGTGTGTATATATTTCCTTATTAACTATTAAGACGTATAAACGTGCATTAATATTACTCACCTCGTCGCTCTGACACACTTTACCGACCATTCCAGACCAGTCACGACTACGACAGCTACTTTTTTCTCTGCCTTACCTTACGTTACGACTACGGAACTTACGTCTCGTTACGTCTCGTTCTCTGCCATAGCCCTATACCTCGTACCCACTAATAATCTCAGGTTTGTTCGGACCTCCTACAATCCGTCGGTCGGTCGAACCCTGGGATGTAACAATATGTCTCTCATTTTAATATATATTCTCATATATATTCTCATTATAATATGTATCTCTCATTGTAAGTATAAAAAAAGTAAAAAAGTGTAAGTAAGGCGAACAAACATAAAGGGTTTACTTTTGCACTTTATTAAATTTTAAATTGATATTTTTTAAATAAAATTAATTACAAATTATTAAAAACATTTTTAGTAAATTCTTTATATTACATTAAGGACAATTTTATCAATCACAGTTAAGGTCACGGCACACAAAAAAATTTAAGGCAGTAAGACGTAAGCAGTAAGGAAATCAACACGTTGGATTGGCTACTGCTTACATTATGGCTTTACGATTATACTGTGATTGATCAATTCGTTTAATGTTTACGTTTTACTGCTTAAGTATTTTGTGTGCTATGACCTTAATGCGTGGTCTACAATGGGCAGTAGTAGTAGCGGATGAAGCAGTAAGACGTTGCAGTAAGCTGGTTTTTCGGTATTATAGGGTATAGAGTAAGTCCGTAAGCGAAATGGCTGAAATCCATTTCTTACGTCTACTCTCTTACTCTCAACCAATGAGAACTCAGCATTCAGTAGTAAAGAAAACGCGCGCAAGAAGCTAGTGCTGTTTTTGCATGCTATAACCTAAATTTCGAGTATGGCAGACATGGAGTTTCATGATAGTTCTGGGCGTGATTTTGAAATAAGGATTAACCGAGAATTAATTGCCGTGGTCCGGTGCAATCGGTTTTTGTATGATAAGACCGAAAAATTATATGCCAACGCCAATGTGAAAACCGAAGCATGGAGACAAATCGGTGCAAGTCTCTAAGTCATTGTAGACACTCAGACGTAAAGAGACCCTAATCCTACAGCCTACTTCTAATGTCTAGCTACTTCTTAATCCACTACTGCTACTGCCCATTGTAGACCACGCATAAGACTAATCGATGGTTACAGTTAGCAAGGTTCAAAATTTGGCTGTTTCTATAAATGTTGTTTTATTTTAATCTTTCTTTTAACTAACTCCATATCTTTCTAGTTCTAATAAAGATTAAAAAAGGATGAAAAGTAAATTAAATTAAGATTAAAATTAGTCTACATTGATAGAAACGGACACTTGTCGGACATTTGTATATCCTACTAATTTTAACCGTCGGTTTATAGTCTCTGTGATTGATAAAATTTGGCTGTTAATTATTTATAGATATGACCAATGGTCACGTTCAGCAGACTCAACTGTTGTGGAGCAGATCCGTGAGCGCTCGCTGCTATTAGTGTATTCTTTTAGATCATCCAATAGCAGCGAGAGCTCACTGATCCGCTCCGCAACAGTTGAGACTGCTGAACGCGACCATTATTTCAATGTCAAATCCACGTCGAAATCATTAATTCGACGTCGAATCGACATTGTTTCGATTAAAATAAAGTTTGTCGAATCGATGTCGATTTGATGTTGATTCGATGAATGATCGAAAATGTGACCGCTGAATATCGAAATCGATGTGAGGATCGATGTCAAATTTCGATATCGAATCGATATCGATTCGACATCGATTCGATGTGTCATTTCTCACTGGGAAAAACGTTCACAAAGCTTTCCAAAGATTACTCAGGGAATTCCTCAACGTACCCTGCTAGTGATTGAGGTAGAGTTTACTCGTCATGTGCAGAGACGCATTTTTCATGTTACGCGAGTTTTGTAAGTCTTGTAGGTTACCGTTATACTGCAACGATACGAACTTTATCTTTCATAAAATCATCAATGTCTAAGATGTCATAAGCTCATATTTCTTATAAAGTTATAGAAGGTGCCGATGGAGCTCCAATTTTTGACACAACAGATATGTCAAGAGTTTTATTACACGACAAAATAAGTAAGTTATCCATAAAATATATTTAAAGGTCATATCCCCAAAACAACAAAGTCTAAATTTGGGATATAAAACTTGAAGATGTGTTTTATATTCCATTTTTAAGACATCTCTTTGGCGTCCTTAAGATGTCTTATGTCTCGTTTTTACACATGCTGTCTGGGATCACCATCATATCTCAATAGACATAAATTGTATTTAGCAACGCGTTTTTTATTCTTTTTTTGATTTATCTATTTCTTTAAAATTAGATAAGGCTCTAATGATATAGATCATTTAAAATTAAATGCTTTAAGAGCCAGCACTGATTCGTTGTGTATAAATATAATATGCTTTTATTAAATTAATATAAAAAATTAAAATGTAAACGTTTGAGTCATGTTTAGTATACATATACATGTGATAGTATATTATATATATATATTGTAAATTTTAACACATAAATTTGCATATTTCTACAATGTTCAACCATGAGATTGTTGTAAAAGTTCAAAGGTATACATGAATAAATTCTTTTCGTTGAGCTATCATCGGAATTTCGTTAGATTTTTTTTGTAGTAACTCCCATGTAAGAAAAATTCTGATGAAATTCTGGAAATAGCTCGACAAAAGGAATCTATAATATTTATCTATAATATATCTATAATTAATAAAAGTTTATATTTACACACTACCAATTAGTGTTATCTCTTAAGGCATTTAATTTTAATTGATCTATTTTTTATTTTGTAAAAGTAGCTTTATAGAAAGTTTAAGTTAATTATTAAAATGTTCACAAATAATACAACAAAAATATATAACCTTCTTAAATGATATAAATTGTACAGCAGGCAAAATTAATTTTATTTGTTTGACTGAGCACGTTATTGATAATGTGCTAAAACCGTACGGATTCGAGATGTTGCCTGAAAAAGATGTTGCTGTAGCCAATTCATCTGACTGTACAGCTAATTCAAAGAAAACTAAGAACACGAATCCGAGAATTTTAAAAGAGAGTAATGGAAGAACTTTGAATAAAGAAATGAAAAACATGTAGACGGACAAAAGTAGAGCAATGCTTCTACACTTATACAAAAAGTACAAATGTGATTTTGATTCCAATATCATAAAAAAGATGATGTTTCGACTAAAATTGCTTGTGATATGAAATGTGAAGACTATAATTTTGCTGCAACACAATGCAAACAAAAAATGAAATATATGAAGAAAAAGTACTTCAAAGAAATAGATAACATGGGTCCTAAAAGTACTGGTGCAGCACCATTAAAATGTGATAACTTCGACGAGCTTGATGAACTGTTTGGAAATAAGCCCAATGTTATTCCTGTCGCTATAGCTAGTTCATCAGGAAATGGTAATAAATTTAAAGATATGATATAAATATTACTATTTTATAAATGTGTTAAAAATTTCTTATTTATTATATTGCTATTTTACAGTTGCGCAGGAGTTCAGTGATGTAAAAGATTCTGAAAAGAAACAGCGAAAGATAGCGAGTGCAATAAGTCTTAGCGATCTGAAAATGATACTTGAAGAAAAAGAAAAAGCGAAAAAGGTCAGGCATGAACAAAGACAAGAACTTTTTCGACAAAGTATAACTTCTCATGAACATATGATGGACAAATTACTGGATAAGTTGCGAGAAGATTGCTTTTGTTCCGATTTATTATTGCAATATATATACATATATAATAACGAATTAATTATTAGAATTAGTATTCATTGTAAGATTATCGAAGTACATATTCAAGAAAAATGAAATTAAGTAGTATTAGAATATCTCTACGTGATGATCGGAATTTTGGAAAACGAAATCCAGGAAAAGTACGATCAATCAGAATTGTTTAAGTTTAGCGTATTTGTGTAATGTGCTAATCTAAGTAGTCGTATTATTTTTCCGAAATTCAGTTTTCTGAAATTTTGACTGTCATGGGGAAGCAGCCTCAATAATTCAACAAGTTTTATTTAATTATCGTTTTTTCTTGAAGGGGGAAAAAAGCTGTGGTAGTTTTTAATTTTTTAAATTTGTGCCAAAGATACGGTTACTACATTTATTTAAAAAATCGCCAAGCTAAACAAAATCAAAAAGGTTATTTTAGTCTTGGTATATTATATTTAAAAGTATGGATATGATTGTCAGATTATATGATTATCAGAAGAGATATAAAAAGATGAGATCGAATGTATTAATTATTCAAGAAAGATTTTATTCAATACATTTTTTAAATAAAAACAAAGAAACGCTGTAGTTCCTTTTTAATTTTTTTAATTTGTCAAAGATGTGGTTACTACATTTGTTTGAAAAATCGCCAATATAAATGCAAATGTATTATTTTTAATCTTGTTTATATTATATTTCTTAAAAGTATTATTTTAGTTGTACTATTTTATATTAGAATATGTTTTCCTTTACATGTATATGTATATGTGCAATGTGTAAATATATATCTACATATATTAAAAATCAATTATTCTTTATTCTTCGAAATCAATGTAATAAAACATAGGAATATTTTAAAATAACATGCACTCAGAATATCATATTTGTCGACCGCCGTTACAATATAATTCTCTGCATAGTGCATCTTGTCGTTCATTTTCAAGTCGTTTTTTCTCTTCATTCATCTCATTCATAATCTCTTCCTGTTCATTATGCATTATTGCCTCCATACCTTCTTCTACATATTCGCGTATTAAATCATCATCAAAATCAAGGCATATGTTGTGCAAAATAACATGTAAGTATTGTTGCAAGTATTAAATCGATTCTGTTCATATCCAAGTATTTTAATCGTCTAAATTGACCAAATGAAAGAGCAAATGCTCTTTCAATTGTTTATCTTGTCTGCGTGTATTAAAATTTTCCTGCTGTCTTGTTAAATTTTCTCGATTCATGTATGGAGTAATACACCACTTGAAAGTAGGATAAGCTTTATCAGCTAAAATAAATTCCTCATGTAGAAAATATTTATCTAGATTTTGACGTATCGAATAAATATCAGTACATGATGCTAGAATTTCTAAAAATTCTAGCATCATGTACTGAACTAGAATAACCTGCAAAACAATCTATGAATTTTAAACATCACATATTGCCTTATGACATGTTGTTTGCGATTTCTGTATGTTTCAGCATCCTTTGATAGTGCTTTAATTGACATATATGTCTCATCGAGAGCATCTATAACACCATCAATTCCAGCCATAGCTTTAAATTTTTCTTTTATCGATGGAAGATCTTGTTTTGTTGGCCAATGAATCACATGCGGTGCCATCTCATTTAAAGCTTTCATAACTCGAACAAAGCAGGAAAACAATGTAGATCTGCTTAAATCAAATCTTTCGCAGATTGATCTGTTGATAGAAAAAAACATCAACTTTAACTTAATAAATATATTAATAGTAACTTATATGATTAATTCAGATACTTTTTGGAAATTTTACAGTGAAATTTTCTGTCTTAATCAAAGAATTGTTCAAAAGTGAAAATTTATTTTCGATGAAAATTGATGCTATATATGTACAATAATACAAATAAAAAAAATGCTAGCATACATATCTATAAGAATCTGGCGTCGCTAAGAGCCATATTATTGCTAATAATTGCTTCTCTGCTGAAACCATTGGTCTCCCAGTTTCAGTAGAATTTTCTATCTTCGGACCGATAATAGTGAGTAAATTTTGAAAGGTTTCACACGTGATTCTAAAATTGCCTGAAATTCTTTGTTGCTGAAATGATGAACAGTTTGTTCAACGTAGTATTGGATTCGATTGGCCTTGTTCTTCTTTTTTTCTGAGCAAAGTATGTTAACAAAATTTCTGTTTCACTATCAGATGATGAACTGGAATAAAATTTGTATAAAGACAAAAGTCTTTTTCTTGATAGTAACGTGGCGATTACTTTTTTAAACTTCTCTCTGTCGTTACTCATATTTTTTTTCGGATGTGTTTAATAATCTGCTAACAAATTAAAAAGATATAACAAATCAATTAAACATTCAAATATTTTATTTTATTGTTTAAAAAGAACATACCTATATATTTATCTATTCATAAAAAAAATATAAAATATTTATATTTTATGAAGCAAAAGTAAAAATGATAAATATAAATATATTAATAAAATTAGTATATATAATATTCTTTTTTATTCTTAAATGTGTTACATATATTATATACCTTTACCACAGATGAGAAGAAAATAATGTCGTTACTTTTACCGTTACTTTCTATAATAATGATTTAATGACGTAATTTTTTATGATGTTCATAATATACTATAAAAGCTATGCAGGTTATTCCAGATCGTTTATAAACTGTAGGATGTTAACATATTCCTCAAACTGTCACCGTACATTTTCCACGAAGTTTACCCGTATCTCACAGGGTAAGGTTTACGAACGCATCCTTGGTGTACCGTGTTCCCAATGTGCCTACCATCCAGATGAGGAGCAAGTGTATGTCTCGATTTATCGGTATCATCAATGTTAGTGGTTACTCTCATGCCATTTGACTGCGTATGCATGTTTGAGAGTGCAATGGTGCCTTGACTATGGGCTTTGCGGACCTCACTGGCAGTCAACTTTCTCAATCCAAAAATCCAGTAATACACGTTACATTATCAAATGAACTTCACATGTCACTCATTGAAGGGTATTTTATCGGATTATCACAAAATCATCATCTAATTTATATAATAAATTTTTGGTCATTATGTAACGGTCCCTTGTGAGTGCTCAGTGAACTCTTGTATCTGTTTAGTCTATATTTCTATATCCAATGAAATATGCCAATCAGATGCAAGAGTTCACTGAGCGCTCAGTGAGCAGTCGTGCTTCTGAATGCATCTAATGAATGCATCCACTGACGTCTGTTACACGGCATGCTTAATCGGGTTTAATAACATTCGTAGTTATGAAATTGGCCAACCATAGCTCTTCGGAGGAATGGAACGACTGTGATTGGCCAATTTCACAACTACGGATGTTATTAAACCCGATTAAGTATGTCGTATAACAGAGGTCATTAATTCCTATTAATTGCAAAGCACTCTGCGTCGTACTCAATCTAGCATTTGCTGGCGGCACTGAAGATGTCGTCCGTCACATAGTTGTAGATATTGTGGACAGATTATCCAAGCTCACGCTGCCAAATAGGCCGATGGAGCAACGTGAGATTCCGTGTTGCACAATAATACGTAAATCACTCGAGAGAATTCTCGTAAGGTATGAGCGTATACCAAGCAATCTGAGTATGGTGGTGTTTCCTGACAGAACTCAGCCAACTTACACCAGGGCTGCACTGGGACTATTGGGAGGTAATCTAACAACTATTCAGATATTTATATCACAATCCGTATATTATTCAGTACTTCTTGTTTTCGCCACATGTTAGAGATGGGCGATTCAGATCGATCTTTTGAAGAATCGATCTTTTTGATCCCGATTTTCGGTTTTTTGGATCGATTTTCATATCTCAGTTAAATTCGCAGATCGATTTTTTCACGGAAAAATCGAATCGAAAACTTCGACGAATAGCGAGCGGCGCGAGTGTGCTACTAGAGTAACTAGAGTCTCTGGAGACTATGCTCGGGATCCATCACTGACTTAAGGTTTGTTCGCGTCGCATGCTCCAACATGTTCCAACATGCTCCTACTATAGCTCTTACTCACTCCAACGCGCTTGATAGAGTAGGAGCTATGGTAGAAGCATGTTGGAGCATGTTGGAGTTTGCAACGCGAACAAATCTTTATGTTTCCATCGAGGGTAATGTGAGGTCTACAATAGAAGTCGTAGCAGTCGTAGGGTCTTAAGTCGTAGAAAATTGACCAATCACAGTCGAATATGAGAAGAATAATCAACTGTGATTGGTCAATTTTCTACGACTTAAGACCTTACAACCGCTACGACTTCTATTGTAGACCCCGCATTACTGCTTACGTGTTACGACCTTACTTTAATGCGGGGTCTACAATAGAAGTCGTAGAGGTTGTAAGGTCTTAAGTCGTAGAAAATTGACCAATCACAGTTGATAATTCTTCTCATATTCGACTGTGATTGGTCAATTTTCTACGACTTAAGACCCTACGATTGCCACGACTTCTATTGTAGATCCCGCATTACTGGCCTTACATTTTTGTATGCGTCATGGGCTTTAGATTTGGTTCGAAGTGTGGGAATTGACTAGTCACAATCATGACGTAAGAATTCGCGATGCTCACGACCAATAGTAGCGCTAGTGTTATTCTAATCACATGGTCTATAAAGAGGGTTAAATTTTTAGTCTCGATATCAATTGATTACGATTTTTATTTTCTCGATATATTTCTACGATTATCTCAAATATATGAATTTGTAAAAGAAAATATGAATAGTCGGAATATAAAAGGTGAAAGAAGATGAAGAAGTTTTAAAATCTGGCCAAGTAATTACTGTTGGCTGCACAAAAACCACGAATAATGACTCGACCAAACATATTTCGGGTCTTGTGTTGCAAATGAGCGCACTTAAATCATTTCCGTATACGGTAGAAGGAATTATAAACATCGTAAATAAAAAACCAATGATCCAAGAAATGATGTGCTCTTGTGATTGCCCTATGAGTGTAAATCTGTTCAATAAGCTTACTAATTGTTGATATTCAATGTTGAATACGGTCGCCACTTCGTTTCACTAGCCAACGAAGAAGGATGAGCCAGTCCTTTGCCAGCGGTGGATGTTCTCTGCGATGTCCGACTTGGGATCCTCTCTCACCCTATAGGAGCTTTGGCTAGAAAATCCGCAATGAATTGATAAACTCACACGTTTAATAATAAAGTAATTTAATGTATTTAATGATTGTACACATGTAATTCGCGCACTCGGAACACGTGACGCACCTTCCGGACGCTATTTCTTGAAAAATAATAAAAATAGAGGAACTAAACTTGTTTAGGGGTCTTAATTGAGTAATAAATTAATTAATTAACGTTGTTTCGCGCGTCCGCGGAGTCCCCTTACGTGTTGCATCAGCATGACGCAACATCACGCGACGACACGCGTGCACGTCCTTCCAGTATGGACGGCCAAAAGCAACTGATGGCGTCATCCTTCTACCGAAGGGAGTCGGCCATCTTGGCATCTTCATCCCCACCTCCTCGTCTCCGACCAATCGGAAAATTCGTCCTTTAAGAGATCGGATTACCTTGTTCATAGCAGGAAGGGAATCGGTACCATGTTTATTTAGAATCTCCCTTTACTTTTTTCTAGAAAATTCTATTTATTAAAATATTACCGGTTTTACCTCAAACAGCTGTGACAACCTATATCTATACATCAATGCACTTTAGAGATTCTAAATAAACAATTATTAAGAAATTTACTCATTTTTTTAAATCTTAAACTTAATATAACATAAATGTATCCTGTATGAAATATAAAATAAAATGAAAACATTAGTGAACTTGATCAAACGTGAGACGTTATTGGCGACTTATACGTACGTTCATATCACTTTTATTCTACGACATTCTTGTGTCCTTTACCATATTATATCCTTGTCTCAGGTTTGATATATCGTGAGTAAATATCTTTCTTAGAACTTTTAACTTAATCTCTTTTTTTCTTTCAGGTACTCTGGATTTTTCCCTGATAATTAACCAATGACTCAGGCTCACATAGAATATACGAACTACGGCTTTTCTAAATCTAAGAAATAATACGATAAGTATAAAGTATAAAATAAAATATAAAATCTTTACAAAGTTCTCCCTCACGCACAGTGGGCCAGACGACCCGAAAAACTGGCCAAAAGTCGAGTTTAAAATTTATTGTAAACAATATTTCATATGTCATAAGAATATCTCAGAGAACATATAAATGAACTGTATAATAAGGTTTTGGTAACAGGTTTCGAGGAATAACTGTTTGATTACAAAATACAGGTGATAATTTCAGATCTATCTTTAAAATAAAAAACATTAAAACTATGAATATAAACTTTATAAATTAAATGTTTAAAAATCGTATTTGTTTTAAAAATGGACAAATAATAATGCTATACATTTATTTACTCTAAATATTAACACTACTTTCTATGGCAGAGTTATTTACGCGAATATTTCTGATTTAAATAGATTATGACTTCACACACAAATCCATCGTGCCGACCTGTGCGGTCACGGAATTAATTTTTTTTTATACTGTTTTGTTCATATGAATATGGTTAACGAGAACAAGTTGTTACTTTTTGCTACTTTTGCTCGTTACTAAAAATATGTATTTATTTTCCCACTACTACACAGTAGGCCAAGAGACTCGAATAAGTGACCAAAAATCCTTTTACTCCAGAATTTTGATAAAATTATGAAAAATTATGGTCATGGTTTTTCGGATCGCTAATTTCGAATCTGATGTCAGAATTGCACAATTCAAAATGGCGGATCAAAAATGGCGAACAATTTTGTATAATAATTGTCTAATTTTTATAAAATTCAGTAGTATATATCGATTTTTTAATTTTTTTATTTAAAAATTTGAATGTAGTTAAACATTTTTGAAAATTGATTAATTGATTATTATTCAAACATAATTACAAATCTTCTTCATACTACTCTTCATTAGTCAAATGACCGTATCATACAAACTTCCGTAAAAATTTGTAAGGCCGCTTGAGTCATCCTCTTCCTCGGTTTCGTTTCATTGAGAAAAAGAATACATAATTGGTCAAACTTAGGAATGTTTTACGAAAGTTTACATGATACGGAGTTGACTAATGAAGAGCAGTGTGATGAAGGAGATTTCTAATTACGCTTGAATACTAATTAACCAGTTTCAAAAAATGTTAAAAATATAAAAATGATAAAATACAAAAAAAATTTTTAAATAAAAAAGTTTTCATTAAAAATTTACTGGTTTTTGCATTTTCGGTTCGCCATTTTGGATCCGCCATTTTGAATTATGAAATTCTGACATCAGATTCGAAATTAGCGATCCAAAAAACCGTTATATATTTAATTTCATAAAAATTAAATGATTATTATAGAAAATCGGCCACCATTTTGGATCCGCCATTTTGAATTTCTAAATTCTGAGTTCGGATTCGAAATCAGCGACTCCAAAAACCTCTGAATATCAAATTTAACAGCAATTGAAGCATTTTTAACATTCTCGTTCGTCATGTTGGATCCGCCATTTTGAATTTCTAAATTTTGAGTTTGGATTCGAAATCAGTGACCCTAAAAACCCTTAGATACCGAGTTTTATGCCAATCCATCAACATTTTGAATTTTGACCAAGATTTCGGGTCGTCTGGCCCACTATGTCACTATGAGAGCTCCTGATAACGTTCTTTTCTCAATCACGCAAGATTCTTATTCTCTGTAAACTCCCGCGCGAAGCTATTATCAACTTTTAACCGCATTCGCTTCTAGAGAGCTCGTCTTGAGTCTCATTCGCCTCGCTTTTTATCTAACGCGAGATAACGAATATCTATACGTTTTAAGGACGTTATAAAATTCCTTAATGGAATTATGGTGCCTCTAATAAGCATTAGGTGATTAACACCTTCTTCGACTTTCTGTCGAAGACCTATCATTCACTACGAGCTTTAAAAGTCTCGTAGTGATATTGAAATTGACTCACGAGCTATTCTTAGCTCCTTTGGAGTCTTATAAAGCTTAAAGCTTGTCTAACAAGTTCGTTATTGATAATAATTACGCTTTGGCGTATGTGAAAATTAAAATGAATACAATAAATTAAAATTGAGCTAATAAAATTTCTTTCAAACCTGTAGATGTTTTTATGTAAATAATTAATGCGTTTATGCTTAGTTAAATAAATGAGAAAATTTGATATTAATATATTAATATATTGAGTTGTTAACGACTCTACATAGCTCGTTCCTACTTGAATGTATTTTTGATTAATTATATTGTTTCTGAGCATCTGAAATAAAATAGTTAAATCTCTTTGAAATTATTTAGAATTGACGAACAAGCTAGTTTAGAATAATTAAAATCTTTAATGTTAATGGTATATATGTATGTTAACTTCGGGCATCTCTGGCCTCTGAAATAATTAATAGAATGAAGGAATAATTTATATTGGAGGATATTGTTTTTCAAAATTTTATTTATAATAATAAGTAACTTATTTCTAACGCTTTATTAAAGTCTTCTTAATAATTAAACTTATAATAATAATAATAATATTTGTATATTAATCTTAATTCTAATTCGTAATTTGTACATTGGTGTGAGTGTGTTTTTTATTTTATTTGGGTTGATTCTATTTAATTTTTTGGTGGGCTCTTCGGCTGTGCCGTCTCCTTGTGTGTTTCCTCCGGCTGTCTTTTCTCTTGAATCTGGTCCACTGGTCTTCCCAGAATTAATTGTTTCTCGCCTTGTGTCTGTGAAT